AATATAAAAGGATGGATTGTAATATTAATAATTTAGTACTCCTGAAGTATGCGCACCAAGATATTGCACAACCTGAACCCTGACCTGGTACACAACCTGAGTTCAGGTTGTGCGCCATCTTGGTGCGCATATTTCAGGGGGTCCAAAAATTTTTGGATGTTTAAGCAAGTTTGCTCAAACCAAATTCACGAGGCTGTAAACCGTAGAGCAAACTGATTGCTGGCAGAAGAGTTATAAGCGACAACCGCTGCACAAAAGTTGTTTGCGAATATGTATGTGCTTTGACTTGTTTCAGAATGAGAGTTATAAATTACAGAGCTGCAACATTTTGACCTTCTGCGGAATTTGAAAAAAAATTCAGTTCTGATTGACTGTGCTGATCGGTGCATTTATATGAAATATCAATAATATTCTGCTTACAAATTGTTATGTACTAATCTAGGTAAATGTTATAAAAGTATATTACGGTGTTATATGAAAGTCTTATTTGTTCCTCATATATTGAATACTAAAATCATAGATATGTTTGAAATGAAGTTTTTAAATAAATTATTCGATATAGAGTTGTCAGGTTGCAGCAAAGTAAAGGATAAAATAAACTGATATACAAATGACTTTCGGTCTAATAAAGCCATTGGGTAGTAAATCAAAGGTATGAAATTTATGGGAAGAAAATTGATGAAGTATGATCAGCGCGCAATTGTGCAGTTGCGCAGCTTAGAGGGAACCTTGACTATGACCTAAGGCAAATACACGATTCCGCACAAGAAACATTCCTAAGAAGGCAACAAGTTTGCTAAAAAGAGCAATACGCAATAAAACGTGTTTCACTTTAGTTACAATGAAACAGCAATATTTTGAATAAAATAAAGGTTAGAAGGTTATAGAAGGGAAGAAAAATAAGATAAAAAAGAGTCTCCTGGCGACTTCTTTTACCTCTAAGCGTTAAAATTTTAAAATCGATCGGCCCATAAGTTGTGTTTAATCACATCTACAACATTGTTCATTTGGAAAATTATGCTGTGACAAAACTGCTTCTTTAGGTAACTACTACCGGACTACTATTTTACATTTATAGCGAATAAAAATCAAATATTCTGATGGGAGGATATCTTTTTATGCTTTTTATTAAGCCATTTTGAATTTTACAAATTCTAGCAAACTGAGACTTGACATTCGCAATTTATAATTTCGACGATGCAGCAAAATGGCGGATGTCTGCAAGAAAAATTAGTGTATTACTGCGCCTGGAGAGCCTTAGGCAACGATTTCTCTTCGATGTACTTGTTCAGATTGCCGGCTCACCTTCCTTGCACGAGCTATTATTAATATTGTTTCGGTTTAAATAATAGAACTATAGGTTATGCTATTCCCCAACAGAAGCTAAAACCCTTGTACTATAATACAAACGATTGCAATTAATGAGACATAAATCTTCACAATATTCCCCAAGTATGATTGTCTCATTTATGCTTTAAAACCTAAGTATATGTTATTGACTTTTTTCTGCGTATTCACACAAAGCAACTAGCTAATTTATTTAACAAACGTAACAACTAGATTGCGTCAAGGTATTTGAATATTCGAATGCTCTTAACGATAAAACATTCATAGATGCCATTAGCTTCGCCTTTCATCAATATACGGTGCGGAAAAAAGTAATCAGCTGCGCCAAAAGATATTCGTATTGGTCGTATAAATTCTCTATATATATACGTATAGTTTGATAGTATATATTCGGTATATTACAACAAATCATGTTTCATATCTATCTCAAATTATGTCATTCTCGCCTTGTGCAGTTCATTACCGAAATGGCGAATAATCATAAGTTCAAACTCTTTCTGCGTCTGTATAAATATTTTAACTTGATAACTGTATGAATTTTGAATAGTTTGACTCCAATTATATACCCACGTGAAAAAATTATCAAAATCTAACAGCACATTAGTTACGCAATTACGATATTATATAACGTTAAATTTATAACTAGTGAACACTTTGAAATAATGGTTTACATTTTTACGTTTTTTAAATTTTTAATATTAATTTGGTTACATAACACTTGAATCTCAAGAGTTTGTCTAGACTGTGATTATCATATATTACGCAAACGGTTGTTTCTTTTAGGACTTAATCCATTCTTAATCGCATCAACTGTGACGCATTTCCAACATCCCGGACGAACATATTAGTTTATATTATTGTCTAAAAAAGTAATCCCTTTTAAACTGATTTATGCCATATTATCTCTTCTTACGAAAGCAATAGCGACTTACGCAACATTCTGCATTCATCGGAAATTATCTAAAATTGTAAAATAAATAAGAATTTTATAATACGTCATAAAAAACTACTCAAAATATACAAAGTATATCAGACTCCCGGTAGTGCCCGACACCATATATGTTTCAAACTTAAAAATTTTGTATCTGCACAATCCACAATATAACTAATATTCGCCCGAAAAATTAAGATGAACTCGAAGATGACACGTCTCCAAGTTTCGAAACCTGACAATTTGAACTTGCAGATAACATCTAATCCAAACAATCGTAGTAGTTTGTGATTTGCAGGAGTTAGAATTGGTTGACAGTGAATAAGCCACGAAACCACGTGTAATTTCTATAACGCATTTTTCATGTGATGAGTGAGTCCAAAACAATTCATTTTTTAATAAGGATAGAAACGGACTTTGGGTCAAAGTAACCATAAGGCAGTGGTTTTAAATCTTATTATTTGAGCGGGATCCAAATGAAACATTCTAGTGGCTCGAGGAACCCCTTTGTTTAATGTAATAGTTTTATTGTCTGAATTTTTTAACTATAAAAATATATGAAAGCTAACCTAATACTCGCAAAAAATGACCCCTTGATGTGCATCACGTTTAACAATATTAGCAAGCCGAATAGGTTTATATTTGAACAATATTATTCATATAGGTTGTCGGATCAGAGATGAAGCTTGTAGAACCTATTGAATATACTGGCGCGGAATCCCGATTGAAAACCACTTCCATGCAGTGAGAGAAGTCAACTTCAATTCAACAAGGTATAATAGCAAGAAGTTTGGATGCAATATTTCAAGTCAAACCCAGATTTTTCGGTACTCCCGAAGTATGAGTAGCATGTTAGGGTTAGGTCATCATTTTATTCCGATTTTCCTTGTTTTAGTTCTATTACGAGCTCAGAGACTGTCAGTGTTAGCAAAATGGATATCTCAATGTCCATGAGTTTTCATAGGTCCCTTTACACACCATATTGGTACTCATATTTCAGGAGCGCCGACTTTTCCATATTGCGTCGATTGCTTCTAAATTTTTGGGGGTTAAAATATAACAATATATCACTCGGCTAGCGATGGAAAATATTTTTGGTCATTTTTCGATTTTTCTGAGTGGGAAAACCAATTCATCAATACCGCTTATACAAATTGTTTCGTTATAAATATAGGTTATCAAATATTGTGTAACAAAAATTCTATTTATTTCTAAAGTGCATATTCTTAAAAGTAGTAATTTTTTTCATTTGCGAAAAGAACAATCCACAATCATTTATTTTGTATAAAAAAAATCCAAACAAATAACGAATTGTGTCATTAACGGATTGAAATGTAAATAGAATGATACGTATATTCTCTTTCTTACGATTTAATCAGTAACTTCACTGAAAATTTCTAATATTTGAAATAGCAGAACTTTTCATAAAACAAAAAAGGGATAAATATTAACAGGTTTGGGCATCCACGTGCGAATCAGCACCTTGAATTGGCTAGGGAGGCAATAGAATGTACCCAAAAGGAAAACCAATAAATTCCTCAATCACTTTTACAAAATTGATTTATTTGCGCTTGAACTTCTGTTTTTTGTATGATTACACCCAAAACTTTTAGAATATATCTTAAACGCAAACGTCCTAGATTCATGAAAAATATATAACAGAATTCTGAGTGTAAACAAAATTAAATAATTTATTTACTTTAATTTAATGTGTAGAGCAGTTTATCTAAGAAGCCTGATCAGTAATTTGCTATACAATGCTATTACAGTAGACAAATAAGCCATGTAAAGAATTCAATCACGCTTGGCAAAATTTAACGTGGTGTGAAATTGAGAATGTTCAACGTCCAACTGTGATTACAGCGATTTCCTTTAATAAAGCCGAATGAAAAAGTTTTATGCACAATTGTTTATGTCTAGACAGAGATTACTTGTTGGATATTTTGCAATTTCATTCTAAAATCCTCTGGATATCTAGAAAAATATGTTCCGACTATTTATCAAACAAAGATTATTTATTTATACATTTTTTGTAAAACTAGTTGCGCTGCATTTCGGCAAGTAATTTTATGGATGACAAATGTCATACGTTACATCGATAATAGAAACAAAAGGCTTCATTTTATATCGATATGACACTGTCGTGTACAAAATTGAAAATATGGGAACCTTGAAATATGAATAATATTACGATTTGCACAGCAAACACACATAAAATAAGTTTAAGTAACTCGTATTGCAGCTGAAGCCCAAAAATCTATTGGTAAAAATCTTACACAATAAAAAAATCCAGATGAATCCTGGCTTTTTTCAGGGGTGTGCAACCTTTAATACAGGAGGACCAGATACAAATAACTTTGTGAAACTGCGGACCGCACCTTTATTCATCATAGACTTTCTAGCAGTTGTAGGCTCAATAATTTTAGTTATTAGTTGTAGGGCATTGTAACGTCATAGGCATATATATTAGATTGGACTCATGTATAGGTTTTGCACATACTAGATTAAATTAAATCAAAAATTCGTTCCGCGCACCGCACACCATGTAAAGTTGGCACTCCTCCGCGGGTCGCATAATTGTTTCTTGTGCGTCGCATTTGGCCCGCGGGCCGCAGGTTGTACATCCCCACTTTAGTTAATCAAGTTCAATATTTTTAACCAAAGTATAAACAGGCATTTATAAGTTTACGCGTAATCAGTGCCAAAAGAAAAGATTTAACACGGAGTTCTTTCGTTTGATAATTGTCCTAGTCATTGATTTTGACTCGCACAATCCAGAAAATTTGGTGACAGTTCACAGCTCAACGGATTCGACCATATTTTGTCATCGTTAAAGTCTGAAACACAGAAATGCAAAAAATACATGTTGGATATATTTTTATCACCCTAAAGTTGTGACAAATTCATCAATTCAGTCTAAATATTTTTTTTACTTCTTTATGAGATGGATCGTCGTATCAAACGTGAGGAAGTTTCATTATCAAGAAATCAGCATTTCATTATCACCTTTTTTGTCTATCCATTTCACATAAATGAGTAATGGCCGAAGAAGCCATTTTGTCATTATAAATTAAAATTGGTTGTCAAATAACTAGTATAATGTAATGGGACGAAATATTAATAATTTTTAAACCGAAATCAGTGAGGTTTTGAAACTCTCTAATCCCAAAACCTTCTTTCGCCCATCAACGAATTCATTCGGAAAATTATGATAACAGATTTTGTCGTATTCGTTTAGCCTTGAAAATTCAGGCAAATGGCACCGTTATCATATATGATTGTTTGTTTACATCAGGGGTCGGCAAACTTTTGTCGCTCGCGGGCCAAAATTAAGGGTTGTAAGTCATTGGCGGCTGCACATGTTTTTAGAAAGTTGATAACCGAACGGATGATTCGTTTTATAATAAAAATCAAGCAGTGATACATCTCTGGAAGAGAATATAGATTTATTTTCTCATTGCATTGCATCTTAAAATATTCCATTTCAATATTCGGGGCCATTGAACCCTTTGCACTTAGCATCAACTTTTCCGCGTTTTGTTGCAATTCGTCTAATTATATTTAAATTATATTCTCATTCAGCGAGTAATTGTGAATTTTATACTTGTCAGATTATAATATATTTTAGTCCACACGTGACTGACAATAAATTCTGTTACGTAAAGAATATAATCGTCAAAACAGCTAGTTTGTTACTATAATTCAGTAAAGCGTCGCGGGCCGGATTATATTACTCCGCGGGCCGTAGGTTGCCGACCCCTGGTTTACATAATAGAGCGTTGTCAGTTGTCACTGTGGTTGCCCTACTGACACAAAATTTAACATAGATATATATAGGTAACATACGATACGGATGAAGAGAGCTTTTTATGAAGCTTTGGTCTATTAATGAAACTTTTTAGATACGAATTACAGTTAATGCTTTGTAGTTTGTGCCATCTACTTTTCTAGATGAAGTTTAGTTCACTCACCATCAGATTCAATATTCTCGACTCTTTGCCCATTTCTGTGGCGCCGTCGAGTCTTCTTTATCTGAAATATATTTAGGTATTTTAAAATGTAAGTATAAGCATCAACAGACGTGCTTCTTCATTCGTGGATTTCGAGACATAATAATAAATAACACAAAATTCTTTAAAGACGTAACGTTGTGCGTTCGTACGTGGAAACGGTCGGATAAATACTTGAGCAACATAAATTCAGTATTGCCTCGCTTAGTGGAAAATTACGTAAAACAATTTTGTTCAACTAATATTGCGAAATCAGCTAGACAATCTAAAATCTAAATAGACGTCACTGGGAATATCGTAGTTTGAAGTTCAATTTTTTTACAGTAGTTATTGCGAGTAATTCAACGGCCGGATTGGGCTGTGACCAAGTAGGAGAGATATTTAGTTAATTATTGGTACTTTCAAACATTGCAATATTTATTGGTGACATTCTCATCTACAGACTCTTAAGCGCTTTTGCACTGAAAACCGCCATTTTAAGGTTATTTTTAATATATATATTTATATATATTTCCGTGTGGTTGATAATTTTATGCTGCACAATAATCCATGTTACGCGACTATTCATTCATATTCGCTGTGTACAAAGATATTGAAGTTACAGACATACCAAGTGATAAATATTTTATTATGCGATCATACGAAAAAAATTTAACCAAGAAATGTCTCATTTTTCAAGTTACAAAGAACAATTTCATTTCGTAACGAAACTTAGTAATTTTGTTCATTTTTAATTTTACTTTGAATTTGCAGGATACAAGCACACTTGTGAGGTCATAATCGTTCTTATTCTAACCTTTGCTCTTTGGTTTTGGAACCACACTTGCACAATTCTCGGTGTCAGTCCAGTTTCTTTCGCTAATTTTTCGCGGACCTGTAACGAAGTAAATATATTTAAAAATACAGATGTTTGACACGTTTAAACAGGTTTCAAAATTCCAAGCTCAGTATACTGGTTAATTTTAATTCCGTTACACGTTTGCTTTTCAGCCTTTCAAGTTTCAAATTGTTCAATGTTACATAACAGAATGCTGACACTGTATGTTGTGTTATTAGATACAATAATGTTTCTATCGCAGATTAAAATTAAATCAATCAAGATCTAAGATACTTTACCATTCTACTTGGCTTTTCTGAAATGTCAAACCATGAGTTGAACTTTTTTCTTTGTTCTCTCGTAAGAACAGTTCTCGGCCTCTTTAACTTCCTTGGATCAAAGGATGCCATGACAGGTAATAACTGACATTGTTTTTGATTTACACATGAATTCCACATTGAATTATAGGTAGAAGATGTTCCAGTGCGTGGATAATCAGCTGAAGCCAAAATTCGAACGTTAACCAAATCAGTATTGTTGCATGTAAAACCAATGACGTATGATACCAATAGAAAAAATTAGTCAGCTTAGTTCTTGTCACCTCCGCTTGTGGGTATACATTTTTGCAAATTAATTTTTAAAAAATTTGAATAATTATTTAACGCACTAATTGTTTTCCAATCATAGATTTTAAAATAACTAGCAACAATATTTACATAATGTTATCACCCTGAGTAACTGCCGTATTCAATCCAGTTACTTTAAATGTCGAGACCGAAATAAGAATATATCAAATTGAAAATTACTTTTTTCACCTGATGATTGTCTGTAAAAGTGTTGTGGAACAGGCATTGTGTCATTCAAATATTCGAAGGAGAACAAATCAGTATTAACAGCATTGTCGTCAGTTGCTAAACACAAAAAATGCCTTATAAGGATTGCATATAATAATACCCAAGGAATATAGAACAGGGGAGTGGGCAAGGTTATTGAACCAGGGGCCAAAAATTATGCCTACCTAGACTGGCGGGCCATGTAAGTGTGACGTAAAAAGTTACATTTTATGATCAATATTTATAGTGTAACAAAAGCAAGAGTGGAAAGAAATAATCCTCGTTGCCGAAACTAAGTTTAACCGCAATCTCAACAAATTCCTTGAAGTATTTTTAGCTAAAACATCAAACTTTGGTTTCAGTTTGGTTGTTGCAGCACCAGGCGGGCCAGATTGAAATACCCAACGACCGGATTTGGCCCGTGGGACGTACTTTGTCCATGTCTGATATAGAGCAATCCCACTTACAAGATTCTTCTGAATTTGATTCCGATAATCTTAGATCTGCAATGTCATCAATGTCGTAACATAGCTTACAACATATTTTCCGCGCGTGTTCTCCTTGGAGTAAATGAAAACGATCCCCCCTCTGAAATTTGATACATGTACTTGAATAAAAAAGTTTATGATATGATGCATGATCTTTTTAATCTATTCGAAACCTAACAAATCTTACTTACTTATGCACATTAGTTATATTAAATTGTCTCATAGCCGCAACTACTAAAATTTGAATTTCTACGATTTGTTTTCTTTTGACACCTACGTTATTAATGCAAAGCCAGTCGCGAACCTGGTTTGACCTACTACTCTGGTGGTATAATGTGCAAATACAGAGCTAATAGTTGTTTAATGATTAAATATATCACCCATGAAGTATTACCACGTTTCAGAATCAATGTATGTCGAATACATTTCTGTTTAACTCATTTTAAAGATTATACATGTAAATGGTTCCATGGCAGAAGCCCCCAATCTACACAATGAAGTTTTTTATTTATTCTTACATGAAGGAGGCAGTTGCAATACTCGCAAACAAAGCATGCCACGTGATAAGCATATGTTTCAACCCTAATAATTAATTCTTCTTTGCATATCTCTTTGAAGCATCTGCGACAGTGTTTGAGCCTGGAAAGCACGTAGATAAAGTAAATAGTATTGTTAGTGTAACTCGTCGTTCTCGAATACACATTTATACACAAGTTCTTGCAGGTTTATAACTAGTTTATTTAATCCTAAACTTAAAAGGCTATGCCTATGACAGGCTTATATACATTTCGATGTAATTCACCACTTAATTATGAAATTTAAGCAAAATGCTGTTGGTTTCAACAGTTTTAAAAGCTAGAATATGTTTTGAAATTTATTTTTTATTTATATTGGATGAGGGATTGCTATTGGCGTTGATTTTAATTCCATTTGTCAATATTTCCTAATGTTTGTTGAATGTTTACGTCCGCTATATGCAACAAACATGATTATAAAAAAGTTAATATCTGCATATAAAACAAGTATTTTATCACATCTTATCATAAGCAATATTTAAATCTAAAAAATCTGGTATTGTATTACATTATCTTGAGTTTGTTAAACCAAAAATTGAAACCATTCAGACCTTTACTTCTGATATGAGATAAAATATGTAATCAAGATTTACGATTGTTTTTTGTACTGCTGACGGACTAACCGAACATAATATTGTGCCATCATGAGAAATAAATATCCCAGGTTTTCTTAATGAGTTCATTTCAGTTATTCCGGAATGTTTCGAAAAATTACATAAACAAATTAAGAGAACGGGTTTGAAAATTATTGAGGAAAATGATGATTTACATAAAATACATAATATACATAATACATACATAAAAATTGTTATTTTAAAAACCCACCTCTCATAGCAATTTTTGCAGAATAATTTAGAATCTTTCGAAAAACAGGAGATTGTAAGTAACTTTCGACAACTGTTGCATATGACACAATCTGAGAAAACAAGATGCGTTGGTTATTGGCTAATCATCTTTTCACACTTTCAATGAGCCCTGTGTTTCATTAGTTCGTTGGGAATGAAAACAAAAATATGACAATACCCGAACATTTTGTATTATATTGTAGCAGTGATCTGTCTTATATTGTAGCTGAGACACATAACGTTATCATGAGGCATTTATTACCCTGTTTATCCTATAACCGAGTTACGCTACACCTGGCACTAATTTTGTTTGTATATTGGTTCGTAATTTATCTCAATAGTAATATCTAATTGTAATTTCGTAATAATCCCCACTTAATTAAAAAGCTAATTTTGCACTTTTTATCATAGTAGTTACACTTTCTATAAATTTGTTTACAATAAAAATAATCTCTTACTTTCATGCCAGGATTTGTCATCTACATATTTGTAATATTTATCAACAATATGGTCAAAGCACCAGGCACAAGACAATGGTGAATCTAAAACGAAATTTTGTCGGAAAGTAGAGTTCAACATGACACCATAATTCATATTTTCTTTATTCCTCGCATTTTCTGAATTAAGGCAGAATATATACAAGATCAATAAAAAGACATTAATTGCTGTTTTATCTTATATTTAATAGATATTAGACTGCGTATGTTAAACACTAATTCGATGTCGATATTGTTGATTCTCATGTATAATATTAAAGAAAAGCTACTCTTTTAAAATACATTTATTTATTTAAAATAATGACATGAGGAAATTTCATAAATATCAAAATATCATTGAATGTAATAAGCAACTTATTTCTATCTTTTTCATCCTTTGAAATACATAAATTTAAATTATAAATTTTAAATAAATACCTGTTTTTTCCACATCGGAGTTCACCATTTTGTAATTTCTCTTTTACAACGATTAGCTATTTATCAATATATTCTTTTTTACACTTCATATATGAGAAAATGGACATGCAGCATTAAATATGGAACATAAACTGTAAATGCATGCCAGCGTTTTCAACAAAACCTAATATGTGAATAGATCGCAATTCTAATCCCAGATGTTATTTCACCATTTTAAAAACTCGTTGCCTCAAGCATTAAGACATGATATTGCCGAGTGCTCAAGCTATGTATGTGTATGTTTGGTTAGGTGTGATTACGTCATAAAAATAAAAGCGAAGGGTAGATGTCTGTGACAAAATCACCATCGTAACATAATATACCATCAATCGCACACGACACATTTTTGAGGCTTCAAAAACGAGACTCCCACATTGTGATTCAAGTTACCACAAAAAAAAAGTCAAATATTTCGATAAGGGTCAAGTTTGCTGCCTTTGTCTGTGAAGTGAGAACGTAGGCCAAGTGTCGATGATTCGAAAACTTGAGATGAAATGTAGCAGAAATGAGATTAATTACAACAAGGATAGTTACTGATAGTCTGTAATCAAAGACACTATCATCTAACGATAAACAAATTTACTTTGAACAACTTGAATATTTTACTTGAAAAAAATTGTAACAACTTCATGTAACATAGGCTTTCTGGTAGTTGCGCGTACAAAAATTTTGGTTATTGATCTTATGACATGCGTTGTTTGTCCTGCACAAACAAAGGGATTGAAATAACTCGCACGTACCAGATTAAACTAAATCAAAAACTCGTTTTGCGGGCCGCACACCTTACAAAATTGGCACTTCTCCGCGGGCCCCGCATTTTTTTTTGTGGCCCGCAGGTTGCACACCCCTGTTTTAGGCTGTAAGCTAGTTCATATTTCGATTTTCAGAATCACAGTAGGCTCGAACAAAAATGTCTCAAGCAAAGGCAAAACGCAAAACGTAGATATAAACCAATTCTTCTAATTGTCCTCTCAGTTGGCAATATTTGAAAAACACGAAAATATTACTATTTTATATTAGCTTCGAACAGTACATTTTTTCGCGAGACTTCCGGGTGTTATAAAACGACGAAGAAATAAAGTGATTTGCCCTTTAATTAAACAAATATTATTTTCTAAAAACACGCCCTATTTTCCCTGAAAATGTTTCTTAAATTATTCTGGCGATAGGAGAAATTACATTATCTCGAAAATGAAAGAATATTAGCAATTGTTAGAAAGATATATTCTGTTGTCTTTGAGATGGAAGTATAGATAATTGTAACCAAACAACCAAAGTCTTGTAACGCTTTGGCGAACAATGGATCCTCAAACCAAGCACAAAATCAAGATATAATAAACATTACCTATGTTTAGAAAAAAACAAATATTGGAGGTATGTTATTCGGTTAGGGAGATCTCTATCCGCCGACCAAGCACAACACAACCAGAGTTTGGATTGTTTAATTTTTTATTGGAATTGGACCATCAGTATTTAAAGAATGAGGAAAACAACGTCTCGAATATAGGATTGCGATAATGTACAATAATTTATCTTTTTAATATAAATGTGAGCCTTAATAAAAATGATAAATATTTTGAATCATAAATTGTGCCACACAAGATTGTATATTATAATTTATTTTTATATAACAATAAAAACAATTTAACAATAATTCTGAATATCACATCCATTCGACAAACAGCTTCTTTATTGTCTGAATTTTTATTAGAATTAGACCACCGGACACCGGGTGCCACCGGACTCAGACGCCGTTGAAAACAAAGAAATTAATTTGATAGTGATTTCTACCATTTTTGAACACTTGAATTAGGTAATCGATTGATTCAATAGATGCACAAAAGGCGATTTTCTTAGGCAACAACAACAACACCAAAAAACAATAACAACAGTGTTGGAATTTGTAATCTAAATGCAAATTGTCAAAATACGTATAGCCGGGTAAACTTGGGGAATAGATGCATAACAATAGATATGAAAAAAATGCTATTTTTGGGGGAGTTCCTATAGCACTTTATGTTCAGTCATAATTCGCCTAACAATAATTCTGAATACCACACCCATTCGACACAAACAGCTTTTTGATTTTCTGAGTTTTTATGAGAATCAGACCATTAGTATTCAAAGAATGCCGAAAAGAACGGCCTGGATATATAATTGCGGTAATATACAGCATTGCGAAACATTTACAATCATCTTCATCCATCCTTAAGTATTTAAAATGGGGAATCGATTGATCCCCTAAATGCGGAAAAAGCGATTCTTCCAAGAAACACAACATTAACAACAGTTTTGTGATGTGCAATCTGAACGTTAATTGTCAAAATACTTATATCCGAGTAAACCTCGAAAATAGACGCTCAAAAAGTCGGAATCGGTAAAATTGGAGATATCAGCAGAAAGAATGCGAATTAAATTTATATTATCTGCCAAAACATATATGTGATATGTCAACATGGACAAAAAACTATTTTTGAAATTTTTTTTATAGCACTTTTGTATTTTCCAGTGCTCGTCGAAATGTTGTAAAACATATTTATGTATAACTCCTAATTCAATTAAAACTTGCCGAAGTCATAATTCACTGAACAATAATTTTGAATGAAATTATTATATGCGAAGTTGGGGGGTGCCACTGTTCTAGCGCCTCAACCATCTTTGAATACTGAAAATGTTAATCGAATGGTCCAATAGTTTTGAATAAAAGGTTTTATTCATAACAACAAATATCACTCGCAACAACAAGAGCAAAATGATTCACATAAACATTTCCTGTGAATTACTAATTTTAATATAATGACCAATCATGATTCTCTAATTGTTGTCACACCTATATAATGCAGTTTAAAAATTGCAGAATTCTTAGTATCTAAGAGATATTTATTTGCGGTTTTCAAAAATTGTGAACGTGCACATTGTACCATTTGATAAACAGATAATAATGAATTATATCAGATTGTACGAGATAATTTTAATATGAGAAAATGCACATGTTTACCATTGTTTGACCAAAACTAATTAACAACGCACGATGCTTTGTGTAACATAATGTTTTACATCTGATATATTGAACATGTAATAAAATAGTTTTAAACAAATTTCTCAAAACAAAACCGAAATATTTCCCAATAAAAATTTATCTTCCAGATCGAACTTAAGAGAAATACAATAAATAAACTATTAATAGGAGCGGCTTGTAAATTGTGATCATAACAACATATTTTTTGCTCCGACACTTCGATAATTTATTGTTTGTTTCATTTTTATGAGAAAATCCCAAAAAGGGTTTCTGAGAATCATTTACTTATCGAGGTAAATGAATTCAATTAATAGAATTGTTTGAAATATTTTTACAGTCCTACGTGATAAATTTCATGTCTTCATCAAACAGCCATTATTAAATACTATTTTGCACGTATTCAAAATAAAATAAAATATTGGTTTTTGCCCTTGTTCTACAATATAGCATGCATGGTCCAATCATCTAACTCGACGTTCAATAATATTCTCGTGAACAAACACGTAATCAGAATTCAGGACCGTGTGGAAATCGCAGTAAGCACTGGCTTTGTCAGAAAATGTCTAACTGGTTTGGCGTAGTACCACGTGGTGGCGCAATATTCGTAGAACAACAATATTATGGGTGAAATACCAAGCGTCATAGGACTGAAAAAGATTTAAACGAATAAAAATAATCTTCTACGGCAACGTTTCCCGGAGAGGAATTCTTCTCCAGAAATGTATTTGTCATTCTTGGGTATGAATTTTGCTTTGTATTTTTGTAGTATAACTAAATATTCTTCATATCTTTATCATTACTATAATACATTTATGATCTACACATTATAAACTATTTGTGCCTAACACTAGCTAAGGATCCATTGAAGATTGAATAAATAAAGTAGTTTTTTATGCACTGTAAGAAAGAAATGAAGAGTTCCAAAATATGCAAAATTTAGTGGGGGAGAAGGGGGTGGGGGCAAGGATTGCCACTGTTCTAGCGGTTCAATTGAAGATTGAAATAAATAAAGTAGTTGTTTATGCATTGTAAGGGAGAAATAAAGAGTTCCGGAATATACAAAGTTGAGGGAGAGGGATTGCCTCTGTTCTAGCGGCCTCAACCTTCTTTGAATACGGAAATGGTAATCGAATGGTCCACGTCCAATCGTTTTGGATAAATGGATTTTTAAATATCAACAACATAAACAAAAGCAAAATGATTCATATAGACAGTTCGTGTGAATTAGTAAATTCAATATTCCCGTATTATGTGAACCAAGATGGCGGACATCGGAACGTAGTATGTGTACCAGGTTAGGCCATATTAACAAATATGTACAAATACTACGGAAGTCACTTGGCTAGTCCCGAACTCGTTATAGAACTATAATAGGAAAAATTGAAATAAGATTATGGCATGAACATAACCTGGTACCCATACTACGTTCCGGTGTCCGCCATCTTAGGGGAGTACCGTAAATTCATATGAAGACCAATCATAAACCTTTAATTACTGTACCACCTACAATGTAATTTAAAAATTTCAGAATTCTTAGTAACTAAGAGATATTTATTTGCGGTTTTCAAAAATTGTGATAATTTTAATATGAGAAAATCAACATGTTTACCATTGCTTGAACAAAACTAATTAAAAACGCTTAATGATGGTTTGTGTAACATGATGCTAAATCTGATATATAAACACGTAATAAAATAGTTTTAAAACAATTTTCAAAGCAAAACCAAAATGTTTCACAATAAAAATTTATCTTCCAGATCAAACATAAGATAAATACAATAAATAAACTATCAAATAGGAGCGGCTTGTAACTTGTGATCATAACAACATATTTTTTGCTTCGACACTTCGATTCATTATTGTTTGTGTCGGCAAAATATTCATGAGAAAATCCCAAAAAGGGTTTCTGAGAAGCATACACTTATCGACGTATCTGAAATTCAATAAATAGAATTGTTTGGAATAACTGAAATATTTTTTTACAATCCTACGTGATAAATTTCATGTTTTCATCAAACAGCCATTGTTGAATACCATTTTGCACGTATTCAATTATTAAAATAAAATATCAGTTTTATACTTGTTTGGCATTATAGCATGCATGGTCTAATCATCTAATGCACGAGTGTAAAGCCTTCATCTGTTCGCGGACCAAAAGTGGAATCTCAAACTTTTTGGCGAGCCGCAATTACTTCACCTATACCTATGAGTAAATCCTTTCGCGTAGATAAAACGCTGCAACTTGCCATATTGTATTAATAATACTTTAACGAATACCCGATAATTCTAATGCACATTCGAGTTGAGGCCGGTACGCTGAGGATCGATACTCCTTCCACTCGGAAATCCTCAGAAGACCGAAGAAGTCGGCTGGTTTTATTATAAACGATGAATGCTTGTGTCAGCTTGATAATTTTGGCGGCCGACACCCTATATTGTGCCATATTGTGTGAATAATACTTTAACTTTAAAATTTTTATGAGAAAATCCCCAAAATGGATTCTTAAAATCATTTATGTATCAAGGTATCTGAATTTGATTAATAGAATTGTTTGAAATAATTTCACAGTCCTACGTGATGAATTTCAGGTCTTCATCAAACACCCATTATTGAATACCATTTTGCACGTAATCAAATTAAAATAAAATATCGGTTTTATACTTGTTTGGCATTATAGGATGCATGGTCTAATCATCTAATCCACGAGTGGGCAACCATTATCTGGTCGCGGGCCAAAAGTGGAATCTCAAACTTTTTAGCGGACCGAAATTACCTCACCTAAGTAAACCACTTTTGCTTCGACAGAACTCTGCAACTTGCCATATTGTATTAATAATACTTAAACTTTAAAATTTCCATGAGAAAATTCTTTAAAGAGTTTCTGAGAATCTTTTACTTTTTGAGGTATTTGAATTTGATTAATAGAATTGTTTGAAATAATTTCACAGTCCTACGTGATAAATTTCATGTCTCCATCAAACAGCCATTATTGAATACCATTTTGCACGTATTCAAAATAAAATATTGGTTTTTGTACTTGTAGCATGATTATTTCGGCGGTTTACACCCTAAGGTTGATAAACTATCTTTCTGCATACTTCTATTTTTTAAGTAATAATTCCTGTGCTCTGGCGCTGATTTTGAAGTTTTTCATTTCTTGCAGAACTGTGTACTGTATTCAATGTATAAGCGATTAAGCAATTAAAAGGATGAATTCGCAAAACAAATCTTATCTTTGATCGTCATTTTTTCCGTTTGTAATTTAACCCTGCCTAATTTAAATAAACATTATTGTCATTACAATCTTAGAGGAGGGAGTTTTTGAGGTAGCGATAGTTTACTTTTTATATCATAAATCGCTTGCGGAGCACCAAATAAGAATTTCCGAATTTTTAGGAATTAAATAATCAGTGATGAGTAATTTTGTCTGGAAGATGTATGACTATAGGCTGACGTAATGTCATGTGGAGGCCCAATTGTAGATATTTCAGTCGAAACATCGAGAAGAAAAAATCTAAAACAAAGTAAAAGTGATACTGTTACATCTTCGAGTACTGAAATTTTTTCGTTAGTTTCGGAGAAAAGATATTTTTTCCACCAAGAAATGCCATCTCAGCAAAACGATATATATTGACGCTTCGCGTTCAATAACATTTAATTGGATATTGAACAAGGTTTTATGAATACGGGTCTCGGCAACTATACAGCATGAAATCGTTTGCCTGCCGAGAAACGTTTTTATCTGCTAATGCCGTTTGGCGAAATATATTACTTATAGGCTGTAAATAGGTAGGTAATAAGCAAGTACTACTTATTATAAATTGAGTTTACGATTAAGTACAAATTGCATGCTAATTATGGAATATATTTTGTCTAGCGTGTGTTTTATATACCTTTTTAAACAAGCAATTGAAATAGCATGAAATAATTTCCGAATCGATTTTGTGTCATCAAAAACAAGGAAGGAAAGACATCACTTTATCATTCATGCCAACATTTTAAGGTTATCTATCACACAACACAAAGTATAGAGAAATGCACTCGGTCCCAATAAGCTCCGAGCGGAAGATAAATGAGCCCCGAGATAACATATAACCCAACATAGAAAATATATTTTAGAGATTTTTACATTCGCATAAATCGAATATATCAAGACAACGTTATCTATCTTCATTCTTTTTAACGCAAACTTGTATACAGAGTTTTAAGAAATTAGAACGCGCGACTTTATCGAATAATCCGAGGAATGTGCAAACTATTTTATCAGATACATGTATTTTATCGCGGAGTTCTTACTAATGACATTTTGAAATGATTGTATCAGTATCAGTAGTTTATTTTTACACATGCCAAAAATACACATTATACGAATAGGATTAAGTAAAAAAAGAAAAAAATGCATTTTAGTGTGAAGGAAGACGCGATAAACCAGTAATGGTTATCGAGCAGCGTCACCTACAAGGAAGTCTAACATCAAATTTTATAAAGGAATAAAAAGACGAACATTAAATACTAAGAGAATACGAAAATAGAATATATTCAGGCGACCCGAATATCCGAGTCTCGTTCATAACGAAGGAAGCAAGCGACTCCAGTCACAACAGGCGGGGTAACCATGTCAACCGCGTTTTATTAGATATCAGAGTGATAAACCATAGCATTATGAGGTAACTGTGGATAAACGGGCTAAGAAACCTCGCTTGTCAGCTGCAGTAAGGGCCATTGTTTTGGGGGTAGTACCTCATTCGGAAGACATTAATAACAAACAATATTATTGGAATCAGGTTCCGAAAGGGGTTTTCAAATCTATACCGGTACGGTACCGTACCGGTACCTACTCATGGAACTCTACAGTGGCCTGATGACTGGGTGCTGGTGGCAAATTCATACATGAACAGAAAAAGAGATCAACTTAAAAAGGTAAACAAAATTCTGGTAAATACTAGATTATCGTTGAACCAAACATAAGTTAGATCTAGCAGAAATCCACAAACAGACTGCACAGATATTATTAAAATAGGCTACTGAAGGCAATTACAATGCAATAAGAGATCTGAAATATAACTTATAATTTTAGATCATGTACCACATGGCTATTGTGGTATAATTTCAACAAAAGTGAGAGCACTTATGTTTGACTGCAGGTAACAAATGCAAAAAAAGATATTGGTTAATTCAAAACATGAAACCTCGAGTGTGACTGCACTTCCACAGATATCTGTGGATTACAGGAAGAATAGAAACAAACTCATGTGCAAAATAAAAAGTATAATAAATATAAGACATGACTATTCATTTCTCTGCATATAATTAAACAGTCCTTGTAGAATTCAAAAAAAGTAAGCATGGAGATTCATTTCACTGTGCAATATATGAAGTAAATTAAGAAATAGACAGAAATAACCATGAATATCCATTCCACTGTGCAGTATCAAAGGTGCAGAACGAATTCTACAAGAATAAGCATGAAAATTTATTTCACTGTGCAGTATATAAAGTAGGCAACAACAAAAGAGTGAATATTCATTCCACTGGGCAATATATAAATACGACAAAAGTGTGACATAGAAAAATAAGCATGAAAATTTATTCCACTGTGGAATATATGAAGTAATAACAAGAATCTAATAAAAACAAACATGATTGTTTCTTCCACAGTGCAGAAAATTGATTATTAAAAGTATCAAGTCAATCAATTCGAGAGGCTGTGGATCAGATCAAGCAATCCTGGCAATGGCAAAGAGGAAAGCTGACAGCACATCAACTCTAGGTGCTGGCAGGTGACAGGTTGTTGTTGACTTAGATTGTTTCTTAAATACCAGTAAATATTATGTCATATTCTCGTAGCTAAGGAATACTTACCTTGGGTGATATCAGAAACAAAATTGCTGAGAAAATAATATCAACAAAAATTGCGTTATATTAAGACATTTTTGTTTTCGTAAAAATCGCTTAGTAGCCCAAAACGGCTATTATGTTTACATATCTTGCGCTGTCGCTGTCTTTCTCGTCTTATTACAGTCAAAGCCGTCACGATAGTGTGAGCATAGATAAGTCAGTGCAAGATTTTGGGTGAAAAGATAATTTGTAAGAATTTTTCGCCATATATCAATAATATCAGAATTTTAATTTAAGTTTGCTGTCATTGGACACAAAATGTACATATGGACCTTTAAGCTAAATTGTTGTTGTTTGGAGATATTTGTGGGAACAAATTCGTCCTTTTCCGAAATTAATTGTTTTTACATTTTTAGTATTTAAAGGTGTTTCAAGTCGGTAGAAAGCTATTGTTTTGTTTTATTTTGTATATGGAGCTTAATAATTACCAAACATTTTGCTGTTGCTCATAGCTCAGCGACTGTGATGGGTCTCGATCTGGACCTATTTCATTTAAACCTTCCAAAGGATAGATACGGATTTCAGCATAAATATGCTACCGGTATTACAGATAGTCATTGGACCTTTGTGTCTATACATTGGAAATTTGCTTTCACGTTTTCTTTCAAAGGAATGTGGCTGTGGCAGTATTTTTGGCTGTTTTGTTTTGTATCTGTCATCATAAAAAGGATTTAAGTTTAAGTTCTATTCTTCTCCAAGGTTGTTTATTGAAGAGTTACATTACCCTATTGCCACAAAAAATCAGCAGCACTGAAACTAATGTTCAATCGAATTTAGGTTGGGAAATTCTGATCTAAGAAAATGGCGATTAAATATGAAATCATTATAACAGTATTAAAATGACCTTTTTCCATTTTATTCGTGAAATTGTGATTCGGATTCGTTGACAGTTTAAATTCCTGCATATTGCCAAGTTACTTCAATGTCCACAAGAAATGCTTAACCTTCAGTAATTTTAAATTTAATGAGCCAGTCATAAATAAGGAATTGATGAATGTAATATTACTATGTTTACTTTAAGACGCCGTTGGGCCTTTGCGCATTTCGACACGTCGCAGGCTTAATAGTAGGCAGAAAAAAGAGCGCTCGAGAAGTGTGTGTACCAATATGGAGGTAACTAATTTTATTCGCCTACTCTACATCAAACAGTCCCTGATCTCGCCATAGAACCAAAATAAGGAAAATCGGAATGAAATTATGGCTTAACTCCGACCTGGTACACACACGACTGGAGTACCAATTTTTTTTAAAGGTGTGCCAATGGGCAGCTTTTTCAACAATAATCGATAAATGCTCAAAATGAGATACGATAATTTTTTTCAGAACATTTTGGAATGCTTCACATAGGTTCATCAGTATCAAATCTTTATTAAATTTACAACTGCTTTGATAGACACACTTTATTTCATACAGGTTACAATATTATATATAAGTCCGCCCATCGCTCCTGGTACAATACTAACAATACACGCCTCAAACAGACAAATCATTAGTAGCTGCAGTAAACGGTTCACATTTTCTAATAATTGTGCTAATGTTTACATGAATGTCAATATTATAATATAAAATGTTATGTTTACAATTGCCATAACATGTTTTATTTTCCTCTTTCAGGGCTATAATTTTGGAAATTTGCTATTCTAAGCTGTTTTAACCGAGCCTAGTTCTGTCTATCTATTCTACCACAATCTTATTTGCTGCACTTATTATCGCAAAATCTTAGACACGGAATGCACATTGGAGGTATATGGAGTCGGGCAATCATTGCTTCGTTCATCTGATCTGTCTTACATCGCGTCAAGATACAAAATGGACGATTGTCAATAGTCGGCTGCACTCTTTCGCTGATTCTATGGATCTGACCGACAAACAAACAATGTTGTTATCACAGGATTGCATTGGAATATTTATGTATCTTCCTAACTATCAGTGGTTCATAATTTATTTGAAATAGATTGAAATGTATGTTCATGTTATTTTATTTGCCTCGAAAAGCAATGAAAAACAATCTAAAATGAAGATAGGAGAAGCTCACTTAACGGGAGAAATCTAAACTCAAACGACATATCTTGGATTCAAGAGAGTTGCGCAAAATCTTGGTATACTCCATTTCATATGCATTTCATGTATATTTCAGTTGAGGTACAAGTTTGATCATGATCATTAGCGTTCGCCTAAACATTACTGCTTTATATCAATTATTTATTTTAAATTTCTCAATAACTTTGAATTCAAAGATTGTTTTTTGTGTATTTCCCAAGATAAAAATCGGAACGAGCATTAATATCTATACTAACTTCTGCATTCATTGTTTCTGTTGAGTTGAAATAATTTATATATGAATATTTATATTCATAAATTAAATACCAGTTATAGTAAATTGAGGTAATAGTAATAACTTTGAAATATATTTTGGAAGTACACCTTGAACAAATAAAATTTTGGTATGGCATTTCCACAATATTAGTGATTGGTGTTAAATCTGTAAAATTATTATTCAAGTATAAAAAAATTGTAAAATGAATTTTTCTATTTATATAAATGATATTTGAAATACAATACAATATATTATATAAACATTTATGAATGTCTAGATGTTAGGTAAATTATATTAACGATTTTGTATTGTACTATAAAGTTGATGAACAAAAACGATGCTACAATACAGTGTTTTTGTTTAACCTTTTGGTGGATTTGAACCCAAATGAAACATTTCAGTCGAAGAATCCCAGTGCAATAGTTTAATTTCCCTTTTATTGATTAAATTGTATAAACCATAAATGTATATTAAGCAAACCTGGTATTGGAAAAACAAAATGATCCTCTAAGTATTTAGAGATAATTGCAAATTTAGATATTTGATTATATTTTGTTATCAATACGCCTTTTAATTATGTATATAAAATTTGGTAAAGTAATTTAATCTACGGTATATAATTTGAAACAGTAACGCAAAATCTGAATTTAATTTTTTTTTGTTAGCTACAAAAATGCACAGCTATTTTCAAGTTTATTTGATTGGATGGGTCTGCTGGTTTCAACATTATTTTATCTAAACAATTTTTGTCATGCTTTTCATTTGTTGTTGTGACTCTTACTTTTGCTGCAGAAATTGTGTTTATAGTTTTCATCATTAAATATTTTATATTGAATATTTATGTGCATCCTGGGCGAACCTCAGAAGATTTTTCAGAAGTTTTGTCGATCGAATGTAGCATATTTGCTTTTTGAATAAAAGTTGTTCTGCAAATTTCAGATTATTTATTACTGCAATTAAAAACTACTCTTGAAATTTGTGCCCTACTCACAAATTATAACGCCTATTGAAAATATGAGTTCCAACATGAAATGCAATGAGAATTTTTCTGTCGGCCGCCCTCCAAAAGTATGAAAAAATTGGAACACTTTTCTTCAGTGAACTGAAGCAATATCAACGATTCAAATTTCCAGATTTATTTAAAAAATTTTATTATTCATTACCAATGATGATTTCCAATTTTTGACAGAATACAGAAAAATTATAAGATATATTTAATGACTAAATAACTGGAATTGAAGGCTTTGTGTTGAAGGTAGTATATAAAAGAAATTGTATGTTGCAAACAGGAACAAGTGAATATAATCCCATCAGTAACATTGGTAGTACTTCGAAGAAGTACTTCGAAGGAATAACAAGAACTCGAATTAATGATAGTCTAACTAGAATGTGTTATTCAGAAATTCATTTGTCTACTCTTTAATACGAGATATATTTATATAATTTAATGAGTGGTGCAAAAGTTCTTACAACAATGCTCCAGTGAGGAAACTGCAAATGTGGAAGATGACAACATGTTCTGCATCTCAACTGTTTCAAATGAATATAGTTTCATTTATACGAAAGTATTTCTAGATGTTCTATTGAAGAAAAACAAACATTGTCGCTGTGTCGTGACACCAAATTTTTTGTAATGCTGTTCAACAACTATTGCAGTAGTTTTGAATCTGAGTTCCGCGGAATTATGAGAGTGTTGCCAACACAGTACAGGGGTTCCAGAAAGTTTTATTCAAATCCAGAGTCTATAAAAAAAATTTTATGTATGTTATATATATATATATATATAATCAAATGCCGACACTCCAGAAGTATGTGTACCAATATAGAGGAACTAATTTTGTTCGTCTACTTTACATCAAGTTGTGTAAAGGGACGGAAGCCTATGGGCAGGGGGTATATTAACTCAGCTAACACAGAGACAGTCTCCGAACTCGTAATAGAACTAAAATAAGGAAGATAGGAATGAAATTATAGCCTAACCCAAACCTGGTACACAAACCACGGAAGTACCCAAATGCCTATTAAATTTAACATTATAATAAAACTTTCGGGTAAGACATTTCGGATAAATGATGTATTTTAACTTTCATGATATATTTCTATATTGTATGAGTCAACACGTTCATTGCAATATCGAACATTAAACTCTTTTTGAGTCAATCAATAGATAAATTTTTATTCAGAAAGAATCGATTTAAAAACAAGTGAGACTACGTCCGAAAGCAAATATCCCAATATGAAGACCGACACAAGAAAAAAATAAACAACTATTTTACCTTATAAGTCTGGCAAAAAGTTCTGCGGTATATATGATGTACGACGTAAATCAAAATGGCAGATGGAAACTGAAGCAGTGCAAATTATCATATCAATGAATTTTCTAAGAATACCCCCCCCCCCCACAGCCCCCAAGGGCTGATAGACATATTGTGAAATACCTTAAACTAGAGTGGCAACTTGCCATTACATGCAAATTTGCACTTTTAGTTTTTACTGGCATTGACGATAACATGCTTTAATTGAGTAAATTATCCGCTTTTATCACATACATTTTATCATCAACTATGAATTATTTATATATACTTGTCAATGGTTTTCACTTTGTTTATAGCATTATTGATGCAATCAGGTTGCGAGAATTTTAACAACTCGCCTATAAGCATATACATTTATTCATCGTACAAAAGTTATTTTGGAGATTGCGAAACCAGAAAATAACAATTCGGGGCACCATCTAGCGGAAGATAGGAAAATTTCATCATATCAATAGCCCATGCAAATATTCATTTTTCATGAACCTACATTTCGTGTATGAACGGATCTTAAATTATTTATCTACTTGACTGTAAACAGCTTTAGGGATTATTTCAATAGCTTTTAATATGATTCGGGTTCCATTCTGGCCAAGGCAGGTCTCGACAAGTTGCGGGCCGCATCCGGCCCGTGGCGCCAATTTATTCGGCCCGCGAGCAGATTTTTAGATTCAGACACTCTTTTTATATTTACATATGAAATATACTTTGATTGTACACTTTAATATTGTAATAAAAATCATTGTTTTAGTATCAATGTTTTATAAACCATAGGACAAGTTGCTATCTGCAGAAAACTTAGATCCAGTAGAATAATTGAAGCGTGAATTTTGTTCGTACAATTTGATAAATCACTATTTGTCGTGTGCTAACAGAGCGGTGTATCGTTAGACTAATCAGATCTGCGATACCCAGTATTTTAAATAGGTTTCAATTGAACTTGACATTCAATGACCTGTTAAAGCGCTGCAAAGAATGCACTCATCTCAGTAAAAGTAACAGTTGTACTATGCTTTGTTTTATTTAGATAAATAATTTTTTTTTTGATCCACTCGCAAAAACAAAATAAACATATATGCACGAAAGATCAAAGGCGAAAAATCTGTGAAGTGAACAAAACCTAATAAAATAAGTTTAAAACGTATTAAACGCGTTCACACACCGAAGAAGAAAAAACAAGTCACAAACATAAATATTGACGACTTTGTAATCAGGCTGCATGCATACTTTTCAAAAACAAAACAGCGAACTAAATACCCGCTGTGCGTGTGACACGGCATGCAAACAAACAATCCAAAAAATTCTTGAATGAGGTGTGAATGCATGTTGCCGTTCCATTCTTAAAATCAAATTTATATATATATATACAGGGTGGCCCAAAAGTAGGTGGTGGCCCTAAAGTAGGTATACAGTTATTAAACTATTTTATATGCTTTGAAGCTACTTACAGTTCACTTTATATTACTTGTTGGGTACCACAAAAATTGCATATTTTTTCATATAATGAATCTAGTGTGAATTTTACTTTAGTTTTCTAGCTGTTTGGGAGGTAATAATAAATAAATAAAATAAATGTATACCTACTTTTGGGCCACCCTGATATATATATATATATACATATCTAGTAATATCTACTAAAATGTCCACACAAAAATGTAAAAAGCGATTTTGAGTTATAAATATGAGTCCATGCAGTATAACTTTTGTATATCCAGTCACATTTTTCAGCAGAGCAGTCAAAGCATAATTTCGCTTGAAATAGTCTTCATGCTTGTTTGCAGTAGGCTAATTCCTTTGAAAATCTTCCACCCCAGTTGTACCGGTAGATTCCCAGTCCATCAGTCAAAATTCTGCTGTTTCTGTTATTTGTTGTTTGTTTCTTGCATGATGTTACTAAGTCTGAAATTTATTTACCGAACACATATCCTCGACGGTGGTAAATGTGTAATAAAAACGCGCATGGTAGATTGACTTTACCTAGTCCGGCCCGGCACTGCATTTTGAATTTGCAATGTCGCCCCATATCAAATATAATTGCCCAGCTCTGTGCATTGTCCCAGGCATTCATTATATTTAAACTACTGATACAAAAATTAAATCAATGCAGATAAAAAAAATAACGAGGCAGGAACTCACAATACAGAAGTAACCCTAGGCTAGAAATTGACTTTGTTTTGAACAATAGCGCGCGGATGGCTATTGACTATATGAGTATTATGAAATATATTCACTTGCAAATTAAATTCATTCAGAAACGAAGATAAAAATAATATGTCGGACAACTCAAATATTTCAGATATTTTGTATATACTCGATTTTTCCATAGGCTGAAATAATGAGCTACTATTACTGAATGTGATTAGGCATCTATATGTCATTATTACAGTCAAGGAGCCAAATATAAATCACCAATCGTCACCCCAAC